TATAAAGAAATAGGTAGCATAGAATAATTACGTAAAGAGAGCGAGAAAAAGTAGCAGGCAAAAAGGTAGCAATGAAGCAGGTAGCGAGTTGCATCAATCGCCGTAGCGAGATGCATAAATCATGAAATTTAGCCCAAAAGTTACGGTAGGTAGCATTATTACTATTTGAATTTATTCAGGTAGCGTAATTATCATTTAAATAATTCCAGGTAGCTTCCAGGGAGCATTTGGGTTTGTTTGAAGGGTATTCTACTCTTCAAACCATGAGTATCGGTGTTNTCTCTCTCTCTCTCTCTCTCTCTCTCTTTCCATACATAAATACCCTGGAGTTCCGCAGGTGACGAATTCGCCTGGAATTTCTTTACAGTGTTTGTGAGTACGATGATATTGTTATAAACCATTATGGCAATAATCCACCGCAAACAGCATGGGATTATCTGCAAGATTTTTTGCAATTGCAAGGGAATTACAAAATTGTGAAATTACATTGTGATTTGAATATGAATGGAGACGAGGAGAAAGAGGAACCAGTCGCTGGTACTTCATCGAGGAGCAAGGTGGAGATTCCTCACACCGAAGAACATTCGAAGGAGGACGAGGGACCAGTAGCCAGCACGTCGAAAGCTGATTGTTCTGCAGTTCCAAAATGTCTCCGCGGTGAAGGGAGTAGCCGAAAATGTCATCATTCGTATAAATCTAAGAAGCTCAAGAAATCGAGAAGGTTCTAAATGTTTTGGAAATGAAAAGACGCATATGTATTTTTTTTCTTTTATTAGAAAAGCAGTTACATTGAAGAATAAAAATATAAAAAATATATCGTTTTGTTGTCATTTAAATCATATTTTTAACTCCCCCACTAATTGGGTGATAGTCCACTATACGATCATATAAGATTAAGCAATAGGCTGCAGTTTGACCAGGGAAATTACGATCAGACTCGAATTCAAGGCGAATATCAACTGGTCCGGATTTCAATCAATGACAATAAGTGGAGCATAGGTGAGGAAATCGGTCTTACTCAAGAGTGGTTCAGCTTCTTTACCGTAGTAAGAGCTTCGGAAATTCGTATACATGTCGTAGAGTAACGCATATTGATTATGACTAATATCAAGATTCAGGTTACCATAAGGGTAACTTTGAGAATTCAGAAAGAGCTTTATGTCGCGGATGTTGCAATGATCAAAACAACTCGCATTTTTGTTGGTTCGATTTTTGCGGTCAGTTTGGAATCCCACGATGACATAGTAAGGTTTTTCCAATTGGGTTGAGCATTTCACCACCCAGACGTGTTTAGAAGTCGCTGGCAGGAGTGGATACTCGTACGTCTCCCAGGCTCGAAAACTGATGGGAATTGGTGCGTCCTTGGAAATGTAGTTCAGTAGATTGATTTTCTTCGAATCAGCTACTCTGATGTAGGGAATCGTCCACTCTACTTTATCCAGTGAAAGTTTGAATGGTTCAGCAGCAGCTCCTCATGAATGCAGTCATCCAGTGCTTGGATGACTGCATTCACATCGCTGTTTCCACGTGTTTCAGACATAGATATCCACACACCACGATATCATAATCTTGATATCGTTCATGATCATATCTGACAATGCTACCAACATCGAAGTAATCCATCAGGTCCACTCTGAGAATTAGAACGTAATTGCGTGATTGGAACTGCACTTAGACGTAAACACTTTCAAGGTTGCGACGTCAACAGCTCTAGGAATTGTGCACGACGATTGGAATGTACCCTTGGAATGGTTTTACCCAAATTGCGTTGTTCGGACTGCACTTGGACGTAAACAGTTTCAAGGTTCCGACGTCAACAGCTTCAGGAATTGTTTACGACAATTGGAATATACCCTTGGAACTTATACTCAAATTGCGTTGTTCAAACTGCACTTGCACGTAAACACGTTCAAGGTTCCGACGTCAACAGCTCTAGGAATTGTTTACGACGATTGGAATGTACCCTTAGAATAGTTATACCCAAATTGCGTTATTCAAACTGCACTTGGACGTAAACAGTTTCAAGGTTCTGACGTCAACAGCTCCAGGAATTCTTTACGACGATTGGAATGTACCCTTGGGATGCTTTTACCCAAATTGCGTTGTTCGGACAGCACTTGGCCGTAAACACTTCCAAGGTTGCGATGCGCTGGAATTGTTTACAACGATTGTAATGTGCAACGTAAATACTTCCAAGATCGCGATGTAAACAGTTCCAGGAATTGTTGACCACTAGTGGAATTCACCCTTGGGATGTTTTTACTCGAATAGCGTAGTTTGTACTGCGCGTACATTGATACTGTTTCTAGAAATGTTGACCATTAGCTGGAATATATGTTTTTGGAGTGAAGTTATTTTTCTAGTACATTATAGGCAGCGGGGAAAAAATGTGAATACAAACGATGATAGTTTCACTTCAAACTTATAGTGAAAAGTTTAAATGAAAACTAACGCAGCATTATGGTGGGAGACTTAGTGTTGTATCAGAAAACAAGACAACGGACAATCAAGTGCTGTGCAGAGAATTAGAATCCGCTTTTAAACATCGAATTAAAACAGGAGTGATTATGAATTTGAGTCATAAAGACCCTCAATCCTGTCTGGAGGATGCAAAATCCATTGCAACTGGTCAATTGTGGAACACTCTGTAAGAACAAGGAAATATCAAAGCCAACGGAATTCTTGCTTGTAAATTCCAAGTGATGAAAAATGGTGAAGTGATGGAGGAAGTTAAATACTTCAATACTAGAAATGAGATTATTTTACCTACTACCAATATCGAGGAGTAGATTGAAGAGAATTTGACAGAACGACTGCTAGCTAAAATCGAGGATTTCCAGGAGAAGGATTCAGGATGGGTGTTAACTGAAGTGATCAATCTCACACTTAATAAGAATAAATATGTGCCACTCACAGCAGCAGGACTGAACACTTTTATTCCATCTCGTAAACATATTAAATCTAAGAAAGCAGTTGTGAATATCAAGAACAATGTTGATGAGACTAGAATTCATTTTCGATTCATTGATTCGTTCCGGTTCATGACAAGTAGCTTGGAAAAATTGGCATCTTATCTCGATGATAAAGATAAATCCATAACGCGAAAGTATTGTAATGATAATCATGACAAATTCCGTTTATTGACTAGAAAAGGGGTTTTCCCATATGAGTACGTGGACTCTTGGGAGAAATTCGATGACGCTCAATTGCCTTCTATCGAGGAAATCTATTCCAAATTGAATGATGAGAGTGTCTCTACTGAGGATTACGAGCATGCGTAAACAGTTTGAAACGTTTTTCGCATCACATCTTTAGATGAATATTCCGACCTCTATCTAGCAAAAGACGTGGTACTTTTGGCAGATATCTTCCAAAATTTCAGACAGACTCGTTCTTCGGTGTACAAACTTGATCCTCTGCATTATCATACCGCACCAGGATTAGCATTTGATGCTATGTTGAAATGCACTGGTGTAAACCTTGAACTCCTCACTGACATTGACATGTACTTGTTTATTGAGAAAGGGATTCGAGGTGAGGTGGCTCAATGTTCCAATCGGTATGCTTGTGTAAACAATAAGTACATGCATGAGGAATTCGACCCCAACAAATACTTCTTACCTGATGTACTTTAACGTGAACAATTTGTACGGAGCAGCCATGTCGTAGTACTGACCATATCGCTCATTCCAGTGGGTTGATCCATTAATCGTTGATGTGCATCCAATTCCAGATGATTCGAGCAAAGGTTATAGTCCATACGCTAGGGGTACTTCAGTGTACATTGAGATGTCCATTAGATTTTATTACTGGATTCCATGTTTTCGAGGTCGCTGATTGCGAATATGATGATCGTTTGTGCGAAATCGTGGGCAGTCTCTTTGTTTATAACAATTTAATTGTTTAAAACGGAATATCGCGGAAACGGCTGGCTATAGGGGAAAATGTTTCAAACAAAAAATGTTCCTTATCAAAAAGTGGACATATTTTGTCTGTTTGAAACATAGTCATCATTCATCAGTTCAGCGTGGAATTAAGCCGGTAATCTTCGAAATCAATCGGGACCTTTCGGGTCAACAGTCAAGAGTCAGCGAATCACCCGGAAAGGTAGTAGTACGACATAGTCAGTCAGTTAGAGTAATCGCTCGGCAGTTCAACAGCCATGTAATAGATTATCAACTCAGTTATTAGTTCAGTCCATCCACTCAGTAGAAATGTTATAGAATATCAAAATTAGAGTCAAATCAACGTAGATTTAGTGAATTAACCAGTACTATAGTTTCTCAAAGAGTTAAGTACATCAGCAGTGAATTAACGAAACATTAAAGTAGGATCAACGGAAGGCGCGTGTCGATGCGTCTCTCAGCGTGTACAGTTCCTCACCATTTGAGTTAGCTTTAATCGTTAGAGCAATTATCGATAGACATTTATCAAAGACATTTAATAGTGACTCAACAGTGAATTATCAATTTAGACGATATATTCATTTGAGAATCTCAACGAACTAAATTTGAGTGACAAGTATATAAAGTGTATAGAGTATTTTACGACGTGGTTCGATCCCACAATTAAATTGTGATTTTATGAAACAGTGTTAGAATTCATTTTCCGGCCTCACCTCTGATCACACACCCACAACCACCCTAAACCTAGCTTCTCATCAAACACTGGTCCTTCGAGCCGGATGTGGGTTCGTGTAGGTGAAAAAAGTGCCTGTGAAATAGTGCAAAAGGACGCCTCGTGTGTAACGAACTTTCGGGGTTCATACGGGCCATCAAACGGACAGGAGAGTGAATCAACAGCCCTTGTGACTCTTTGTTTTGATTCCGCTAAGTCGGGATTGTAAACACAGTGCCAGAGGACAATACATCGAGTGTTGTGAGTGGTCGGGAGTGGTCGTGCATCATCGTAGGCCCTCGACGCTTGGGCCAGTGAGCCAAGCAACAGGCGACCGTCAGGACTCATCGCAGTCGATAACATCGACTGCATCAACAGAATTTCAACAGTCGGTAACCCCCCGACAGTCGGTAACCAATTGACTCTTAACAGAACTCAACACAGAGACTTATCATGTCAGACAAGGACACGGGTACCGAGAACAAAGAACACAGACACTCAACAGGATGACAGTTACGAGACAGTTACTCCTCCGATTGCAGAAAATAATCCAAATAATCAACAAAAAGAGACTGAGGTGATAGATACCTCAGTAACAGAAGTCAAAAAGCCTCCAGTCGACACTGGAACCATCCCAAAGCAGACAGTCAACAAAACAGATGATCTCTCTCTCTCTCTCTCAAAGGACCCTCAACAAATCCAATACGTCAACCAGAGACCCTCATGGGCAGAAACACTACCATCAACAGGTCTAACAGGTCTTTAAGAATTCAGGATGAGACAGCTGAGATTCAAGGTCAGTACTTTAACAGAAATTCAACTAGAACTACACCAGTGTGAAAAGAATATTTTTGACACCACACTGGATGAGTTGGAGAGCCAGAAAGAGATAGTCGAAGGAGAGTGGACCGAATTCGTCTCTCTTCAGGAGAAATTGTTCGAGCACCTCACAATAAATAATGAGTATATCACTGAACGACTATGAGCAAGCTGCGTCAACAAAAAGGCAATGCCTCAGAAGCATCGGTTAACTGAAGGGTCAGCTTGCAAGAACGAGAGAGGACGTCGCAAAGGCAAGAAGAAGAATTCCGATAAAGCATCAACTCCACATCAAGAAGATAAGAAGCCAAGTGGGGAGTTTCCCAAGACATGCTGTATCTATTGTACGGGCTAGCACTTTATCGCAGTATGTAAGAACTTCAACGCATTGACGCCAGTAAAGAGGAACAAGTTCGTAGTCGAAAAGAGCCTCTGTGTCAACTGCTTGGAACCTCATCGTAAGAAGAAGTGTACTTCAACTAAGACATGCCACAAATGCCAAGGAAGTCACCACACTCTCATCTATGGAGGTAACTCACACACCATGAGTCCTCCTCCAAGCCGATCAAGGTCTCTATCAAGAAGCCCTGACCACTCATAGTACAAGGAACCAGGGGAAGTACGAGCAGACAGCGATTCAATAGACAACGAATGAAGTCGGTTCATTCATCATCTCATTGATCATGTCCAACGATAGTACCAGCACATCAACAGCAGTAGTGAACCTCAACAATCAGAGATCAATGAGATAGAAGAGAACATCAGCAATTAGCAGAATAATCAACTCAACTAGAGAAGAGTGGCGAGCAACTCAGCAGAATTACTCCAATCCAGTAAATCACAACGCATTGATCTTCGGAAATCTGATGGAGAATCATCTCACCGGAAAGAGTTTAATAATCCTTTCCAACCAACTGAAAAAAGGTACATCACCCGGACCAGACTCCAGAGAATCAATATCAGCAGAGAACCTCATCGAGCAGGTAATCGATCATCTACTGAAATAATCTGTAGTTGATGAAGACCTCAAGCAGTTCGAATTGAAATTTGGAGAACTCCAAGGAAATTAAGAGCCTCGAGCAGCTGATAAGACTTATGGAATCTTGTGCAAGAGGCATCAACACAGTAAGACGTTCAACTCAGCAGCAGCAGACATAAACATCTTCAAGTTCTTCAGACAATTCATCAACATCCCCCCTACCAGTGGGAGAGGGACAGCAATCAGACATTCAACAAGAGACAAGCGAGTGAATTGCAATCAAGAGTTGTAATTCAACATCAACCTCATTGATCATCCTCAGCATCGAAGTCCAGGGTCTTCGGAGATGACCGAGAGCCTCAACAATCAGCTGATCAATGAGAGAGCAGAGAATCAACCAACCAGAAGACCATCAACAGCAGAAGCTAAGGGAAAACCAGAGATTCCAGGACTGAGAGTTAAGTATCATTTATCTATTATCATTATTATGGCAAGTGATACGTCTCTCACCCTGTGTTTCTCCCCTTAGCAATCATCAACAACGAGCTCAACTTCGACGGAGGGAATTTACGCCTCTCGAGTCGTAAGAAGGCTCATCAGAAAGCTCAACAGAAGGAAGAACAGCACCAGCAAGTCGTCAAGTGCTTGTCACGTGGAGTCACGACCTCAAAGAGGCAGATAATCCATCAACTACACCTCCAAGGAAGGTCGTCAACGTCGGAGAGAAGGAGAATTGATGAAATCAATCCAGATCACAATAGCAGAGGGAGGCTAGGCAATCTTCAACCTGACGAATGGGCTGAAGAAGCAAAATTCAACACCCACACAGTTAAGAAGCAGCCTCGCATGACAGCAAGAATTGGAATAAACCGAGTCAAGAATCCTGGTCCAATCAACACTATCAAAGGGACTGACGACTAAGGCGGTTCACCTCGTCACGTCCAGACATCAAGCAGAAAAGGAACACGTTGGCGCCAACATAAAGCAATGATTGAATACTAACACGTACAATCAATTGCAAAGGTTGTTCAACGAGGGTATTTCTAGTGCGCACATAGAAACCTTCAAACGAGCAACTGATTGAGCTTCACCAAATAGCAGGGACCCAGGAAAAATCATCAATTCAACATTCAACATAGAAGAAAAAGCAGAGCTACCAACGACCAAATGAGCAACGAGCAAAGAGTAAATGAGCACTGTATCATTCGATTTCAGTCAAGAACATCAGCATCAGTGCTCAAATAATCACCATTCAAAGACTCACATCAATTTCAACAAATTGACGAGTCAAATCCTTCGATCTGTATAGATTCAATGAATCAGAAAGTTCAACAAGGAGAAAGAGGCTTCAGTATCATCAGAACTTCCTCCAGCATATTATCTACCGCATCATGGAGGTCTGAGAGACGATACAATCATTAAGCAGCTGTGAGTTCCAGTAAACAACTCCAACAAAATCCAACCGAAAATCAGCTAGAAGAAACTCTCCAACACAAGCAACTCTGAACCAAGAAATCGAGAGGTTCAGGAAATTCACCAACGAACCATCTACAAGGTGCGTCGACGCAGAGCAGCTCGACCAGCACGAGACCACCAACGTCCAATTCAGACACTAGACTGGTTAGAAATCAACGCAGTCGCCAAGTCGAACGTCCAGCAGAGAATGAGCAGTTCCAAACACGGGAGCGCAGGAAACAATTGAATCGAGAGGTAACGTATCATTTTCTATTATTAATTTGACAAATGATACCGCCCTCATCCATTGTTCTATTCCCGAGGTAAACCAATATCAGAGGAAATCAGCAGTGAGCACATCAACGAGAGGATCTACGCCTCTGTAAAGGGCACCTGATTCCAGTAGGAGTCTAGACCCTCATCAAGAGTCGTTACATGGACGACATCAACATACGAGACAAAGCAGCTCAACTCGACGACAGTCAACAAGAGAGTAAAGTCATCAGAGATAACCCAGATCAACGATTCATTGGGTTGTATCACTTCAGTCGTCGTCCAGGAGAAAACTGTCCTTGAACACCCAGAGAGGCTCGAACGAAGAGAAGATCATCAACGAGCCAGCATCGAAAGTGATGAGATCATCAACAGAGCAGGCGACAGTCAGGTGTCTACGCCGCCGGGACCTGTCCGCACTACCAGAGAGATCCAACAAGCAATCCTCAACATCAGAAATTACAACAATAGATCATCAACCAGGGGATTGTCACCAGAAGTATCAGCAGCTGATCAACA